AAAAAGTAAGGCAGCACCAGCAGCTACACCTCCAGCAATTGCTCCAATAGCACTATTTCCACCTGAAATGGCAATGATTAAGCAAAAATTATAGCTCAACCATCTTTTGCAGATCAAGAAACACCAAAACTTGCACATTAAAGTTTCAATAAGAAACTATGCAATACTGGTTTGAGAACAATCTGATAAAATGTTTTTTCTTTTCCCTCTTGATAAGCACAATGCAAAATATAACTCAATTTATAGCTCTTCCTAGACCAAACATTGGACCTCATACTTTAAATCCTATTAACTATTAGGTAGTTCAAATAAAGCTAGTAGGCATTAACTCACGCAACTTTTGGGGTAACATTGGCAAACTAAATTCTTAATTATGGATCTCTGCAGTTAATAGACTACTTCCAGAAAATAATAGTAGCATAGAAAAGTTTTCTTTGTCCATGACGACCAAATGGGAAGAAAAACCAAAGTAAAATTCATCGAGCCAAACAATAAATGGCAGTATCAACCACAATAACAGCCATGAATTGAACAGCACTGTGACAAAGGAGTATATATATCTATGTATGCATTATGCATTTGAACAAACAATATATGTTATGTATTATGTATGTATTATGCATTTGAACAAAGCAGTTGTCACAATAAGAGCAGAACAAATCCAAATGCCCGAAGTATACTTCATATCACCAGAAAAGTATCACCTCACCATGGCTAGATGAAAGCCACAGAGTTACAAAAATTCTAATAGGGAGGACCATATATCACGCGACTTACAAAAACTGTCATATCAGTAGTGCTTTGCTTTGGATCTTTAGAATCTTGTCCATCCTGTAAGAAAAATCAGTGAGATTACTGATTGATATCTGACTCGAACTTTAACCTAAGTAAATCAATCTGATTGATATCTGATATTGTAATAATATATTATATAAAAAGGATAAATAGAAAATTTCTTAAGGTAGTACATGGTATAATATTAATATAGATCTTAAAAACCCTTATTTTCATATTACTCTCTGATTGGATAGAACTCAGATATCTGAGATGCCCAGCTCTTTCCTCCCAGGACAGCAGCAGTAGTGCAAAATGCTTGTCCTCTGTTAACGGCAAAACATAATCAGTCCAACATAATAAAAATTAAATGTCGTTTTATTACCTTAACTCTAAAGAGAATCACAGATATTTTCTTAAGATTGTAATGTAAACAAAATTAGTGAGAGACATTGTTAAGTCAGAACTAGTGCAAGGAGAGGTCACACATTCCAGGTGAAATTGAAAACCTAATTATGATTTTCGCTCAGGTGAAAAAAGGAGGGTGCTAACATATGTTTACCACCAGTTTTAGGGTTTCATGCAACCAAGAAATTTGTGGCTGTAAAGCTTCTGTCAATCTTTTAAGTAACAATCATAAATTCATGAAAGATCCAAAGCGTCCAATATACTGTCCTGGGATCATTAATCACCAATCTATGTGGGCACGAGGGTAGATGTGTATCTGTGCATGTGGGCTAGTGCGGTGATGGGTGTAGCTAGTCTACAACTGTGCATGAGAGAGAGTGTGTTTTCAAATTTGCAGTGTTCCTTTTTTCTTTTTTTTTTTGCCTTGATTCGACAAATTTCATCACAAGGAAAAAGAAATTTATCAAAAAAAAAAAAAATCTAAGAACCAAAACAACTCATATATAAGCGGAGAGAATTGTAGACTTACAAGATTCCACCAAGGACAACACCAAGTAGGTTCTCATCTGCGGCCAAGCCGATGGTAGCTATCTGAAAAGGTATATGCGTAGTGTAAAATAGCAAGCAACAGTGGTAGTTACATGTGAAATATACATATAAATGTTCTCATGGTTACCTGACTTTTGTCACCCCATTCACCAAAGTAATGGAAAATGCCTGTAAAATGGTCATGATCATTGTTGTCAAATTGTGAATCGTGAATCGCTTTGGTAAAATAGTGAATCATGAATCCTAAGATTCGCTTTATTTAGCATAATATATATATGTATATACATATAAAACTACACATGTATTTTTTAAAATGAAATAAATATCAATATAACTAAATTATATATATGTATATACATATATTTATCAAATATATATATATACATATAAAATCATGTATATCAATATAATTAGTTGATCTCTTTTTTTGGTGAAAAAGATGTTGTTCCATGCATTTTACAAACATAATTGAGTAGCAGTGAATCACAATTGAATTGTAAGATTCACTTAATTTAAGATTCAATTCAACTGAATGAATCAAATCATTTTGCTTAAAAGTCATATCAAATTGTATGAATAGAATTGTGAATCGTAAGTGGCTCTGAGTTTGCTCCAACCCTGATGCGCCAGATGTGCCTCCCAACTGAGGGCAAGTTCTCTTCATATGCCCTGGCTGACCACACTAATAACAATTAAATCCTTGGCTTTTACTCTGAGCCTGAGACTGAGTTTGAGATCGATTAGGTGGTGGTAGCATCATCTGTTATCCACCCTTTTGTGGGCACGAAAAGGCTTTGTGGCCCGATTGGCCACACTTGAAACACGAGAAGCCATTCGACGCATTTTTTCCCAAACCTGCACTAGGCAAAGGAAAAGTGGATTTAGACTATTGTGGTTAGGGCTGGAATGAAAAGGTACCCCTGCTCTTCTTATTCTGCCTGTAGTCTCCTTGAGACTTTTAGTCCCTAGGCCTTGAACTCTGAAGCCTCTCCTAGGCTTGCACGAAAATCTCTACATATGCCGCCGAATCTACAAGACAGTCATAGTTCCGAATCATAAACAAATGGAAACCACAGATAAATTAAATTTAAAAAAAAAAGATACCCACAACTCCATCTTAAATAAATTGTAAAAAAAAAAAATACCCGAATAGAAACCACACAAAAACAAAATAATAAAAAAAAATCTATCTATCTATCTATCTATCTATCTATAAATATATTAAAAAAAAATGGGATTTCTAACCCCCCAAGTCTTGTGGGAGCTCCAATATCCCAATCTAAATTTCTTGATTTTTTATTTAAAAAAAAATCTTAACATTTATTAACTTCTCCCAACCCCCAAGTATAAAAAAAAATTCTTTGAAAAGTCCAACACATATGAATTCCTTGAAAAGTCCCAACACATACGATTATTATCCCTCATAATAACACTTTAATACATTAAGAACAATCATAAAAAAAAATTCCTTGAAAAGTCCAACACATATGAATTTCTTGAAAGTCCAACACATGATTATTATCAAAATATTACACTTTAATATAATATAAAAAAAAAGACATTTAAAAATCACACTCCTGGGTTGTTAAATACACTAAAATAGCCTTAAAAAAAATTACAAGTTTTGCTCCCAAAAATAATAACTACAAAATTGTCTCCAAATGGTACAATATCCTCCAAAATAAATAATATTACAACTATCTCCATATTTAATAATTAAAGTGGTAGATCCCAAATCTCTGTATTAATAAATCTTTCTAATTCTCAATTTCGAGCTCTGCTAAAATCTGCTTCGCACCTGAAAAATAAATTAATTCGGGAAGTATACAATACGACAGGAATACAAGGCTCGGATACAGAATAAATTAACAGAAACCCAACAATTTATGACACTAAATCAACGATACGATAATCAAGCAATTTACCAAATTGCACAACAAATCAACCATAATTTATCTAGACCAAACACCCAGTCCTACTCAGTACATGACCAGTGAATAAATTCATTTATTCACCCACCTCACCCAAGCTCCACGCTTATCCGGGCATATTGGTGTAAACAATTAATAGGATTCACTCGATCCATGTACGGAGTATTTCCATGTCATTCAGCCAGACAAATCACCATTTAACACAGAAATATTTGTAGAGAATTTTACCAAACGATCAGAATATCAACGATTCAACAACGAACGATTTTACGAAATCTATTAATAACCACATTAATCAAGTGGATTACAAATTGAGGATGATTAAAAATATAGAACTCTTTGCAAAGAGATTTAAATAGAGCATATTGTATACAACCCGAATTTACCTCATAATAATTGACTTCGTCACCATAAATCTGAAATTACTCCATGGATCTCCAAAAATAACTCTGATTAAACTTCTAAAGCATAGGATATGTATATATTGACAAAATCTACAACTCTCCTCCTTAATGGAATTATAAACACTCACTTTAAATACTCCCAATCAAAAAAAAAAAAAAAAAAAACAAATTGTGAAGGAGAGAGGGCAACGGAAGTATGGAAGAAGAAGAAAAAAGAGAAAGTTGAGAGAATGAAGGAGGGTTCTACTCAATTTATAGTGAAAGGAACTTAGGGCTAAGGAAATAGAATAAAAAATTAAAATAAAAAGGAAAATAAAGGACAACTTTATGAGAAAGGAAAATGGATGGTTGAACATGGCAGTGGGCTTGCTACCCACGTTTCCATATATAAAAAAAACTAAAAGAATGAAATGGTGAAAGGATGGAATGATAGAATGGTGGTTTTGCTCTAGGAAGTGAGGGAATTGTGGGTAAAGCCCACGGTTTTGTCTTTTCTTTTTTTTTTCTTCTTTTTTTTCATGTGATGGGAAATTGTGGGGAAAATTAATTTATTATTATATCTGAATAAATAACAATATGATAGATATAAAAGGGATAAGATAAATACAAATAATTAATTTAAAATTAGATTCTTATCTAAAAATCTCACTCTTAAATTATCATAATAAACCACCAATACTATTCACTAAATATTAATATTTCAAAAAAATATGAGGTGTCACAACAATCTATCAATCATAGAGTATTTTAACTTGCAGCACTTCAAAATTAATTAAAGTACACTAAGTTTGAGGGTTTCATAGGGTCTTATAAGAATTAACTTAAAACTTAAAATTAAAGTCTAATTATAAAAATATTTTAAATAACTTAGGGTTATTATATAAATTTTGAAAACTTAACAATGGGTTTAGTTAGGGGATTTATGAAGGAATTTAGAAAAGAAAAGGAAAAAAGTATATGAAACTATATGCAATATAGGTATATTTTATTTACATTTCACTTATATTTTTCCTTTTTATTTCCCTTTTCAAATTCCTTTTCAAATCCCTAATCAAATATAGCATAAATGACTTAGCTTCTTTTTTTGTTTTGTTACTTATCGCACTATATTATTTTTGAAAAATTTCTACAAATTTTCTTGATATTTCTTTCCTGACGTCTAGCATTTAAAAAAAATAAATTAAAAAAGTACACTAATTTTATAATCGAAACTGAGATTTAATTCTAGTGTAGGCCCACAATAATAATTTTAAGAGTTTATTAAATATATTAAACATTTCATATATTAAATATATCGATTACACATTAAAATCTTAACAACCATCCA